TCTACAATTGAAACTGCTGTAGCCAGGATTTTACATATGTTATTAATTTACACTAGTAATGGGAAAAATGTTTTAAATAATTTTAGGAAAATTTAAAGGATGATTTATTTTCTGGTTACATTTTCTGTGTGTTTTATTATTAATTTAAAGGCGATAGTGTGTCCTAGATTTCCAGAACAAACCTAGTTAAATTTAGTTTTAGTCACAAAACTGCTAGGAAGAAAAGTCTTGCAGAGAAATAATGTTTAATTGCTTTAAAAAAAAAAAAAGTCTTAAGAGCTATAACAGCTTTTTTTTTTTTTTTTTTTTTAAAAACCTCACGTGTATCAAAGACAAAATAAAATAAAATAAAAACAAAGAAATAACAATTCCCAGAAAACATAATCCTCATTTCCATAATGGTAGCTATTGGTCTCATCTGTTTTAGAACAGTTAGAGAAAAATAATTTAAGTTTTGTTTTAACCTATACAAAAATACATGTGAACTGTGTGCGACAGGGTGAGACAAATAATTTCATTAATTAGTATATTATAATTTGAAAATGTATTTTAGTATATTTTAAATAACTTTAAACAAAGAGAGGTCAGCACTATTTCAACAAAAGGGTTTAGTCTTCTAGCAAAACTCTAAAGCACACCAAGTGTGTTTGTGAGTTCTTCAGAAAGTATAATAGAGCTAACTAGACTAACGGGGTGATATATGGTTTAATATTGTCATATGCAGACGTTTTTGTTTATGCCCTTTTTGTACATGATAAAGAGGTTACGTTGGTTTGAAATGCTGAAATAACACAGCAGCCTAAAAAAGCCAAACGTCAGCAGTACTACAGTGAGTGGAGGAGGGGAGCTGAGTTTGAGGAGTAAATTAATTCCCCTCGCCGACCGGCAGGCTGTGCTGTAGCAACATCACTGCCCCACGCCTCTCACCTCTCTTCACTGACAGGCAGACTACAATCACTGAACTTTATTAGATTTTTGGGGGATTTTTTTTTAGTGTAGATTTAATAATTCTGCCTCTGTTGGATTTCCACAGAGAGTAAGAAGGAAATAGTAAGTGAAGGGTTGAGCTCAAGTGGAAATGTCCTTGTTGGGGTGTTCTCATGGGTTTGGTGTCTGCAGTCGGGGTGTGCCTATTACCAAGACCATCAACACCACCACCACCATCCCTGCTGCTACCCCGGTCAACCTCTCCTTCTGCCTGCAACTCATTATGTTTTTATCCCACTTTTCCGTTGAGGGGCAAGTAAGAAAGAGAAAAGGAGAGATGCATGAAAATAATTGACAAAACCACACTTTCCCTCTATCAAAGCTGTGTTTTTCTTTTTGTGGTCCAACAGTGTTCGGGTTTTTTTGTGCCAGACTTTCTGCTTTGGTCTAGCAGTGAACAATAGCTGTGGTGTGCCAGTTCCAAAACAGTAGATAACAGTTTGGTTTGAGATAAAGATTCTAAGCCGGCACTTTTACCTTTGAATATAGAGCTATCTCGGTTTGGCCAAAGGACTGATCAAAAGCTAAAAGTGTGCGTGTTCCTTTGAATTTGCGTGTCACTCCAGCATACAAAATTTTTCCTGACTGTACTGTAGGTCAAGTCACCTACTCACTCTCTCTCTCTCTCTCTCTCTCTCTCTCTCTCTCTCTCTCTCTCTCTCTCCCTTCCCCCCCGCCCCCCTCTCTCTTCCCCTTGTCTCTCTAACTCTCTCTCTCTCCTTCTGTCTGTCTCTTTCACGTTTGGTCTGGCCTTAGTACAAGTCCTAGCAGTTGTCAGTTTCAGGAAATGCACTGTGCTCTGTTGGGAAGTGAGGTATCTGCCCCTGGGCCAGCCGCCTTTTTTTTTTTTTTTTTTTTTTGTAATTTTTATCGGCTGCTTACGGGAAGCAGGGCTCCTCCATGCACACAGAACAGCTCACGCAGCCCTCTCTTCTCTCGCTATGATTATGAGAAATGATACATACACTGGCTCGACGAATAGATAGATATTTACATGAATGGATGCAGCACCAATATCCCCTGCTCTCTTATTGTCTTATTACTGTGTGTGGTTGTGTGTGTGTGCATATGTGTGCGTGTGTTCATCCATGCAAATCCTTATTGTGCGTGTGCACAGCGCACACACGTACACACACACAGCTTCACACACTCAAACCAAGCACACTACACTTACACTTGTTTGACTTGTGATTGCTACAGCGTCCATACTGTTACTGCTGAGCAACAACTTCAGCCTGCTGCCCAGCCACCCACCCAACCTGTACACACACACACACACACACACACACACACACACACACACACACACACACACTCTCTTTCTTTACACCCCCAAGCAGTGTATCAGATTAAATGCCTATAGAAGCAGCCTCACATGACATCTGCAGAGCAGCAATGCAGAAGTGTGTGCAGAAAAGCAACGAAAACAAAGTTGTATGTTGTAGGCCGGGGGGGCTTGAGTGTGATGTATGAGCAGGGTAAGTAGTGTGTGTGTGTGTGTGTGTGTGTGTGTGTGTGTGTGTGTGTGTCTCTCTCTCTCTGTGTGTAGGAGTAGGGAGAGCAGCTTGAGTCCAAACAGGATATTGTAGTACACGGGGGCATAGATTCTTCCTGCGGCAGTTTGGCTCTGTGGGTTCAGGACAGACTCGGCGACAAGCAGGCAGCACCTCCTACGTTGTCTCCCTCACACACACAGACACACACACAGACACACACACACACACACACACACAGAAATATTCTAGGCTCCCATCAGATAACTGACTCATAGCTAGCCTCCCTTTCTACGAGGGAAACAATATTATTGGACTCAGTGACAGTTTCCAGAGAAGAGAGCAAGGTCCATAGAAACAGAATAAAAACAATCAGTCAGTTTCGTATCAAGTGTTGGGCAACCATGAGGAAAATAATCATTCAAATATTGAACCTGCTTATTCTCGGCCTTGGCTCGGACTTAATAACAAGTTGGCCTTGAACTTTCCGTCGAAGATGTTTTGTCCATGCATATCATACCACAGTGGATTCAATCTGATTAATCTGTCATTCCATAGAAACCATTTGTCAGACAAGTTTTTAAAATGTAACACTTGAGGCGACTTCAGCCAGAGAAATGTTATTTAAAGAATAAATTCAGGGCAGTGTACTAGAATAACCTTGCAGCAGCCAGTCTCACTATGTTTGATACAACTGACTCTGTTATTCTAACTTATATCTAATGTAATGTAAAGAGCTAAGATGTTATTTGTGCACAAACTGGAGTGGATTGGGGTGGAGGGAGAGTGGGGGTGTCTGTGCAAGGCAGAGGAAGGGTGGAACAGATTCTCCCCAGGTTTGGGACTTGGGGAGGAAAGACGAGGGTGAGGAAAGCGCAGTGTGTGTTGGTGCAAGCAGGGGTTCATCTCACAGAGCTGTCAGGAGTATTCAAACAAGCTGTTTGTCAAGTGCCAAAGCCAGCAGCACCCGTCTACTTGCTCCATCCTGGGTGCTTCACCAGACTGACTGAGTGTGTTACTACATGGATTTCTGTTTGTCGTTGTCTGGATAAATACAGAGACAGGCAAGACAAATAAGTAGCTGAATAGTTAGATGCATAGAGAACATTTCTGTGCACCACATGCACAACCTACAGTAAAAAAAAAGAGCAGATCTTGATAAACACTGAAACAATTTGGGCAGAATGCGAGGGCTAACTAAATTATTAGTTTTGGGTCAAGACCAACAATTCCCATTTTCCTCCATCCCCCTGTGTTTTGCCTTGTTTGTCAGTAGCTCCATAAAACGTTGTTTGGACAAGAAAGCGGACATTATTTGCCTAAACTTTATTAGTAAATATGACTTTAGGAATCTAGAGTTTCCATCATTTTTGAGCCATTTGCATTTGGTCATTTGTTTGTTATGAAATCTGAATGAACTCATTTGTTACTTAACACAAAGTATTCTGTATTGAAACAAAAGAGGCATAGTGTTTGTTCATTTTCAACGAAATTGTTTAGGAATCAGTAATCAATTTGTTCCATGGAATCTGGAAAGAGTTTTCATTCACAGTTTTGTCTAAAAACTTGGCAAAAGGATTGTGTCAATGTCATTTAGTCAGCCTAATGCATGTACACAATGGAAATGGCTTCCTCGGTTTATGTTTATTCTGCCTATAAGCTAAATTGAATTGAAATTCTTTGAAGTTACATACATATTTAAGTACTTAATAGCGTATTGGTAAAAGATCCTTGAATATGTTTTTGTGTGCAGTTTCTATAACACAAACACTTGTGGTTAGTCTTTTCTTATTAGGTCTTTATCTTGCAATTCCCAGAACCTCCAACTCTAAAGTACATGCTGTTCACAAAGCTTTTTATCTCTTATCCGCTGCTTTATATATTGAAGTGTCAACATGGACACTGAAATGTTTTTTTATTCAAAATTGAAAAGCAAATAAAAACATTTCAGTGACACTGTGATTGCATGAGACCTCACTCACAACCCCACTTAAAACAACCATGACCTTTTTTCTTTTAATCTTGGGTCATTCCTCATGTGTGCTTACTTAATTGCCAAGGTTATGACTGATGAAAGATGAACCCATCCCGCTGCCTTTGCTGGGAGTAGATTCATACTAACCCCCAAGCAGGGAAAAGCAATAGGAAGCCAAAGCAATAAAAGGCTTTGACATTGATGGGCCTGTTTCCCAAACACTTAGGACCTTAAGTCGTCTCCTCTCAAGTCTGGCTGCAGGGGCCGGGGCTCCACTTCTTATTGCTGTGTCTGACTGGAGTCGCCATGCCCCAGAGAGGGTCGACGTTTGGTCTTGGCCCCTTAGTTCCTGTCTGTTTGTCTGTCTGTCTGTCTGTCTGCCGTCCGTCTGTGTCCGCCACTGAACATGCTACAGAACTTGGCGTTGTGGTGGGGTAAGTGGGTGAGGAATTTCTGTGTGTGTCGAAGGCCTTCAGCAAACAGCTCTCACAGTGTGAAAGCAAATACAGAAACCTGTTCTGTTGTGCAAAAAAACCCACTATGTCTGACCGTGTACTATTAGACATTTTTATTAGACACAAGTGCAAAAGGAAACAAGGGGAAAGACTGGTGATAATAACCAGAAAATATAGTAGGTTACTTTTGAGTGTACAGTAAATTTGTCACGGAGGAGTCTCATGACGAAACAGCTGAAGCAGAAATGAAAACAGCTGAATTCATTTTTTTGTGTGTGTGGTGAACCTTAGAGAAGACAAACAAAAAGAAAGTTACAGGCACCTATGCACAAACATGGTGGGTAGCCATAGAGAAATAATAATTTTCAGCAAAAGAAAAATGACTTGGCTTCATTTTCATGTTACTTTGAGAGGATTAAAAGCCAGCACAACCTACTTTTTTCCAGGTTCCTCTTGAACAACTTCTTAACCCCCTCCGTCCGTCCATTTGGCTTCACTGACTGGATTAGGTTCATACACAAGGCCCCTACTCATGCCAGTGGATTGCTTATGACAGGCCCTTATGCAGACACCTTGACTGCCATGAGCAATTACTTTAAATACACAGGAGAGGGCCAGAACTGGGCTGACCTGTGGGAGGGTGAGAGGTGGGGGGCGGATGGGAGGAAAGAGAAACACACCACAGCTAATTCTAGATTATGTACAATTCTGTGTTTTTATCCTCAGCAGCACTTAAAACCACTTTATGAGTGTCACAAGTGAAAGGTATTAGTACTCACAAGTTAGGTGGAAAAAAATACACCTTTTTTCACTCTCCCGAGATGACATGTAGCTCTGTGAAACATATAAAATCTTTAGCTGTCATTTATAATCAGATAGCATTCACATCGCAGTCATGCATCTGAATCTGTCTCTACCCCATGGTTCTTACAAGCTGTTGTGTTAGCGTTACTAAACCTATCCATGTCTCTATTCATTGCTACAGTTCAGATAGACTTACCTGTCTGTAGCCTGACAGTGGCAGAACTGACAGCAGTCCTGATGCCTCCCAGTCTCCTCGAGCCCAGTCTGTCTGTCGATCAGGTTTCATACTGATCTGGACTAGCTCTGTTACACTACAGGCCTTGTCCCCACTGCAGGGTTTTTGCTGGCTCTGCTCTGTTTCACCTAAAATTAGGGAGGGTCCTCAGACACTGACTGGGCACAATGAGTGCAAAGTTCATAGGGTTGTTGGTGTTGAGGTATAGTTTGCAATGTATAAGAAAGAGTTGTTTCTTATGAGGCTGTCAAAGGTTGTGGTGCTTTGGGTGTGTTAGTTTTGATACCACATTAGTTTGTCCAGGTTGTGTTGTAAGATTTAGAAAAAATAACATAGAAATCTTTGTGTAGAGGGAAATCTTATTTATTATACTCTTGTTTTTATTTTTACATTTTCTCCAGAGGGAAATTCTGGTTTCTTACTTGTGTAGTTTTGTCCATCATTACCTGTCAGTAAAATAACATTGTACTCTTCTGGGGACATGGCAATATTGCTCAGAAAAGAGAGGCAGCACAAGAAATGAGCAGTCAGATGATCTGACTTACAGTTTTAGCTTTGCTGATTTTAGTATTTCAGACATTTCGGTATTGCTCACTTCAGTTTTTACCTTCAAATGAACTGTTACAACAGAATACTGATCATCTGACTGCAATGTTTCTGAATAGAAATAGTAAAGAAACTTGTAATACTTTCCTTTTGCTTTGAGTATTGGTTTTCTTTTTGTGTGTGACTGTGTATGTTGTGAATTAGGTTTGCTATATCTACTTTTGGACGGAGCTACAAGAGAATAGTTGATGAGTGTTAGATGTGTGAGAGAATGAAGAAGTGGTGATGGCCAGAGTGTGTGTGAGGTGAACCAAAGCTTTTTGCACTTCGCTTTGCTCTGCTTCTTTCTTCTCAGCAAACGTCATTCTCTAGAACTCCCTCTGCGTCGTCTCTTCTCTTCCTGACTCGCACGCACGCACACGCGCACACACACACACACACACACACACACACACACACACACACACACACACACACACACACACACACGGTGTAATGACGAGAAGTGTGTGGAGCTGCTGAGCTGTTCCACATGTGTAGGGTGCGTCAGATCAAATTAGGCCTCGTTGACAAAGGGCCTTTTACACACAGGTGGATGATGGGGGAAGCGGGGGCTGCAGTCAGCCAGTCAGTCAGCAAACCAGCCAGTCAGTAAGTTAATCAGTCAACCTGCCACTCAGACAGCAGCGACTTCAGCTGCACCGTGTGATGTTTGGAACGGTGGAGTGTGATTTGACAGCTTTTCCTTTCACTCACATGGATGTCTGAATTTTCTTAAAATATCTCACCATCATCATCATCACCCTGGCCCCTTCACACTATCATACTAATGTGATACTCGGGCTTGTGGATTGCAGTTTTTGAATAGGATATCAACAAGCTTGGCCTTGACACATACAGTTCACCCCATCAAATCATAATACATGACCAAAATCACAACAGCATGTCAACTGGCTGCATTTGTGGAAGGAAAAGCGAAATTTAGAAATGTTTGGGACTGTGTTTACCTCTCTTTTCCAAAGTTTATTACATTCTCTCTCCAAGTTGTCACTTTTCATATATGAGCATAAATCCCCTATGACACACACACGTAGACAAACAGACACACACACACACACACACACACACAGCGACCCCCTGGGTGCCGGGGTAACCATAATGCAGCTGCGGCAGTGCAGGCTGAGTTATTACGTTTAATCCGTCTAATTGTTGGGTTTCATAGAATGGGACCCAGTCTGCCTTGGAACTAATTCTGTCTGGGCATTCTATTTAATTCGCCACACTGGGCCCTAAGCTCTTCTAAAGGCAGGCTGCCCCCTCTGTTCCCTCCACCCCACCCTTTAAGAATATAAACCCCTTATCTTCTCCTCTCCCTCCCTCTCTTGCATGGCAGAACACTGGGTGACTTGTGCTGGAGAGTGATTTCTCAACAGTCCATAAAACATTCTTCTGACATTTTGGACATCCACTCTAATGAGGCGGGATAATGGGAGCAGAGCTATCATGAGCAGCAAAAAGGCCCAGCAGCACCAGCCTTGCCAACAGACACTTTTAAACAACAACAATATGCAAGTTGCATGAAGACGTGGGGCAAGCCATGAAATGAATGGAAATTGCCTAAAGAGAAGCGTATTGACAACGTCACGTGTACCGCCAAAACTGCAAAAAATACCCCTGTTCTGACACAAAAGGCTTCTAAAAATAAATCTAGTCTGAAAACCAATAGCGGATGTTGCATGTCTGCATGAAGTGTGTGCTCCAGCTGGTGTTTAATTGTTGCCACTGTACCAAAGTAAAACAATGAACTCAGCGTAGCTTATCCGATGAGGTTGCAGTCTCACCCAAAAACAATGCTGCTTTAACTGGTCAGATTGGTGGGGGGTTGATTGGTTGGTTGGTTGGTTGGTTGGTTGGTTGGTTGGTTGGTTGGTTGCGTGGCTGGACGGTGATAATCCGCACTCGCAAATCCCATGCGTTTAGTCAAATTATTCCAGGCCTTAAGGCTCCCATTGTGGTCGCTGGCTGGTGTGCTGCTGTCTGAGCCCCCCACAGGGACAACAATGCAACCATTCAAGGCCACTCGCTGCTACCGACTGGCAATTTCAGGTGTGAATTGGCTGTGTAGCCAGTGGCTTATATTAAATGACCTGAGAAGTGACCTCGAAGGGTAAGAGAGGATAGAGAGGGGGGGGGGAGAAGGGAAGAAAAGGAGTAGGCATTTGGAAAAGAGAGATTATGAAAAACCAGGGCACTACTGCAGTCGTGTCAAGTTCTGTCATCTTTTTGCTCTGATCGTCTTAAAAACTGGCAAGAGCTGCATTATTTTGGAAGAGGGATGAAGAATGAGAGGGAGAGTGAGAATGGCAAAGAATGATCCCTTCAGGCTGATATCCTGTCTTCTTTTCCCATCCACTCTGTTCCTGCTAAACCTCTCCTCTGTCCTCCCTCCTTCCCCCCAATAATGTGCTTTTAATCATATCTCCTTGGCTGGCTTGCTTGCGTGGGTGAGCGCTGCGTCCAGGCCCTTTGATGGGAATCTGCGATGCACCCAAAAGTCTTTTGAAGTGGCCGGCTGGGGAGCTACAGGGGGGCTAGCTATGGGGCCGGGAGCTTTGATGTGCCAGGGTCTGGAGAGGCCGGCTGCACGCTGCCCTGCACCGATCTGTCAGTAGCACAGCTGCACTGCTTGCTGGGGAGCCCCTGCCTCCAACCCTGACTGACTGGTCGGCTAGGTGACTTACTCACCTAGTTGTATACACTATGTACCTGCAAAAATAAGTGCCAGCAATTAAGTAAAGGCTGACTTTAGTAGAAGTTCTTGCAGATGATGAATTGGTCTTTGACTGATGACACTGTGGATCAACTTCTTACATACAATATAAATGCACTGTACATGCATTTAATAATACGTAGTTTTGAGTGAATATATCCCCAGAGTTCATATGAATCCAAGTCCTGCTGCTGAGCGTAGAGTTTCATTTTTTCTTTGCTTCTGCTGCTATTTCCTTTATTTCCTGTCAAGCAGCTCGCAGAGAAAAAATACGTAGTGGACGGCTGTTTTCTGCTCAAAGTCTATGTAAATGTGCCATTGGGAATTTTTCAGTTTGACTATTGCCAAATGGAATCTGTTTTCTCTGCAGCTGCACGAAACCATTAAAAGGAGACCATGTGTTCTAACCTGTTAGGTTTCAGTCGAGCTCAACCTTGGCTCAACTCTCCACCTGGAGAGGAGAACAGTTTCCAAGGCCGAAGCTATTGACACTTAGCTCACTGCACAGCTTTTCTCTCTTTTAGAGGGAGGATGCATTAATTGCCTGACTGCAATGAAATGCAACATTATTTAACGGCGCAGATATTTCTTTTATATGCATTACTATCCCACATTTGTTTTTAATATGATTTGTTTCAATCTTCCATATTATTGCATATAATAAATAGTGTCACATTATGATGAATGGTACAAAGGGTATAGCACTATAACAGCCAGTTACTTAAGCCTATAGTTAAATAAATTAAATTAAATACATTAAATAAAGACTCTGAATACTGAAATTTAATTAGTGTCTGGGAGCAGTACTCTCCACAATATTGGTTCTGTGCACAGATGTAGCCATCAAAGAGGCTTAGCATTCAGATGTGTGTACTTCATGTAGTAGTATGTAACTCTTGCTCTAGCCTTTAGAGGAATTGTTAGGGAAACTCTCATTTCTTTCCCATTTTTCAGAAGTCAAAAATACAGCCAGAGGAAATTAATAAGATGCATGGTCAGTATTTTAACACTTAAACAGGCTCACACCTGCTGGAGTTGTACTGTCAGCCACTGAGCATTTCCTTTGGATTATTTGGGGGCCGCTTACTGTAACGTCACAGTAGTTGCTGTGGTAGGTGAAAGCATCTTTTACATTTACATTTTACTTTCAGGTTTTCCCAGCCATTCTAGAATTCACACCTGTAGACTAGTAGCCCCAAGAAAACCTCTGAGTTATCTACATTTGTTTAAAAAATGCTTTAGCAACTACTGTTATAGTAATGGAATAAGGACAGACAGGTAGATAAATGATGAGAGGCTAATAGGAGTAGTCCCCCTGTAGGAGTCATCTATTCCTGAAGATGAAAAGAAGAATGAAAAATGACCATGGTGAATGGCTCTCCAGTTTGTTTGTTGACATTGCTTCTGGATCCTTCCCCCCTCTGAAGGAAGGATCCTCCTCAGCTTCAACATCATTTTTACAACTCTCCTGCTTTCACCAGTGGTAGCAATCCTCTACAACAGGACAACAGACAGACGCTATGCAGGTATAACTGACAACTCACCAATTTTAGTCCCAGTGTGTCAGTTTGTGGGATTAATTGAAAATGTTATGTGCTTATCATTTTGAAATGCATTGTCTTGCTGGAATCTACTTGACTACTTAATGCTATTTTATTTCCAGTAAAATGGCTTTAAAGGACACATGTGTAGGATTC